GGTAGGATTTTTTGATATCAGCCACTTCTTCTATCTGACGGTGGTACATACTGTGCAGGGGTTTGTCCTTCCATGAGGGTGCGCTCTCTCTCTCTCTCTCTCTCTCTCTCTCTCTCTCTCTCTCTCTCTCTCTCTCTCTCTCTCTCTCAACACTTAACCTAACCTCACCCTAACCCTAAACCATGTTGCCACCCTAAAATTCAGTGATTTCCTTGTGGGGACTAGCTTCACACACACACACACACACACACACACACACACACACACACACACACAGTAGTCATGATGTGGCTTAAGGTTCAGATGTACTTTAGAACATACTTTAAATCAAAAGTGAAAATGATTTATTCATGTAAACTGCATACATAAATAAACCAAGGCTATATAAAAGTTAATCAAATCAGTAATAAGTGAGTGTATGAATGAGAGAAGAATGTTATTTTCTGAAAACCTACAAAGCCAACCAAAAAAGCGACTATGGAGACAGATAAAAAAGAGTCCAACTTATCTGGTCAGTTTGTAAAGCTTTCCAGCCCAACAGTCCAGGTGAACCTCCTATCACTGATACTGGCTACATCCTAAAAGGAGTCAGAGCAGAGAAACTGGAGGATATATTGTATATATGACATTATATTGTGTACAGAAGAACAAAATTAACTTGTAGCTTACTTTAGCTTGGATATAAAAGTGAAATGCAGAATTGTGAATTTTTCACACAACAACATTTTTTTTAGAACACATGCACAAATTCAATACAATATGTGAATACATTGTGGATCCAATAATTAGAATATTAAAACAGCTACGACAGCTTTGAAATAACAAGCATCTTCATATCCACAGAAACACAACTGGAGAGCTTGTTGGAGGATCTGGGTTTGGAGCAGCACTACACAGAGAAGCTGTCCCTGGGCAAAATACTTCAGATTGATGAGAAGACCACAAATGACGAAGCTGCCAAACGGAATTCAGATCTTCCATGGTATTTTCTGAAGAAACTAATGATGGTAAATGTGACAGCCAGGAATGTGAAATGTACATCAGAGTGTGAACCAGACAGCAATGTTAAGTCAGGAAGTGTAGAGTTAGACTGGGATAATCTCCTCCACAGTCCAAACTCAGGTGACACACTAAACCCCCTCGACATAATCACTGCTCTGTTTCTGTGTTCTGATGGTTTTGTACAACAGGAAATGATGCTCAAAATGTCGATGTGCCAGTTTTCTGTGCCTTTGCTGCTTCCAAATTGTAACACAAAACAGTGCACACTCATGCTGTGGGCCATGAGAGACATTGTTAAAAAGTACAGACCTCAGTCACTGTCAGAATCCAAGGGCTTTATTGAAGACAGAGTCGTTCTCTCTGAGCTTCCCATGGTGTCCTTTGTGAGACTGGGTGAGTGCTCCTTGTCCAAGTCAGA